ACGTGCAAAATTCCACTTCTTAGGGAAGGGAACGTTATTCTCACCCACTAAACCAACAGTGGGGCAGCAACAAATCGGGCGTACCAGCCACAGTCTTTGTCATCTTCAGGGCTCACTAAAACCCTCTTACTCCTGGCTACTAGGGCAAAAATGCCATTACGGAAAAGTCTAGGGGAGTAAAGATGAATCAGGTGAGGGAAAGTAAAGGAGACGTCAACCAAATTGGTTAAATGCCTCAAACAGGCAACAACCCTCCATATGATTTGGCCAATTTGACCCAAATAGACATTAAAGAAGCGGCAAAATTCAAGAATAACTGGGTCAATAGCTGGTTTGAACCCTAAAGTGAAAGGGTATGTATAAACAAAAGAGAACCCAGTCAAGTAAGAAGTAATTCTCTGATTTGGATTAGGGATAATAATGGGAAAATCATTACTCCAATGGCAGTCTTTGCGAACTACAAGAGTCAAAACTTCTGTAATTTGAGAGGGGTAAGCGTCAGTACGGTCTAAGGCGGAAACCTGATTTCTAAGAGATTCCCTATCATGGTAAAAAAATAATTTTGTAGGGACTATCTTCTCTACTAAAGGTTCACGTAATGGTTCAGAAGGTTCTTTATCTCTAGAAGAAGATCTGTGAGAAAAGGAACCTCTAGTTCTGGAAGAAGGACCAGAACTAGGAGAAGGTATAGACGAACCACCACCGCGAGTAGACCTTAAGCTACGAAGTCTACCTCCCCTTCTATGTCTAATGGGGGCATTAGGGAAGGTATCAATAATGGGAACTCTCCTAGGGTTAGGATTTGGTGAAGACATGACGAATGAGAAGAATGTGAGGGATTAAGTGTTCAATAAGCTTTATGTGGTAAAAGACAAGGAGAGAAGTTATATTTATATTAATACGCCACCGCCAAAGGTAAAAGTGCAGTGATGGAAGGACCATAATAATGATAACTGGTACTTTGTGAATAGTGGAGCCGTAAAAAGCCATGAAAAAGGGCTGCAAAACTGCATAACTAATAAAAAAAGACACGTGTACGGAGCATTAAATGGAAGCGACAATTGAAGTGTCAGTTTTGTCATAGCATTAATGGTGACAAATATTCTCTTTTAATGAAATTCACTTCCCAAATATTCAACTGATGAATAAATGGAAAGTGGGGGGACTATCTGTATTGGAAAAACTTGTATTTAAATATAAAAGGTGACGTGTCAAATACATGTCNTCGTAAAAAGCCTTGAAAAAGGGCTGCAAAACTGCAGAACTAATGGAAAAAAGACACGTGTATGGAGCATTAAATTGAAGCGTCAATTTTGTCATAGCATTAATGGTGACAAAAATTCTCTTTTAATGAAATCCACTTCCCAAATATTCAAACTGATGAGTAAATGGAAAGTGGGGGGACTATCTGTATTGGAAAAAATTATATTTAAATATAAAGGTGACGTGTCGAATACGTGTCGAAACACGTGGACTGGTCAAATGGTCAAAGAATTACAACTAGCCAAGGGGCACGAGTTGCAACAGATACGAGCAAATGGCAGATGAAGAGGCACGAGCAGGAATACAAATAACCCAACACCCGTACCTATCTAAGTCATTTATGTCTGAGAATCAAAAGGAATGAATCTGACAATAGAAAAGAGTGCAGATACGGCATTTAATAGACATTAAATGTGGAATACATTAGAGAATTTGTATTAAATATAATGATTATGTAACGTAGCATTAAATGTCTTTAATTACTCATAATAGCCTCATTATGATTTGGACAAAACGTATATCTCCAAGATATCTATAAAAAGGAGATATCTGATCAATTGTAAGGACACGAAATACTATTGATATAAACTTTGATTTACTTGTTTTTCTCTTGATTACTCTCTTGTTACCTAAATTACGTCCTTCTATACACTCTTTTGATTATCAGTAACCCGTGTTCTTCTAAATTTTAGTTTTGACTAAAATTTTATTTTTTGGTTAAACAATACTGTCAATCATGATGTAAAAGTAGGAATATGTATTGATTAGAACCAAAGGCGGAGTCAGGATTTCAAGCTTATGGGTTCGGGATTCTAATTGTTTTAAGTTATTGGGTTCTAATTTAATAATTTATACATATTTAATGAAATTTTTAAGACAAATACAAGGTTCGAACCAAAGCTATTGAGTTCGGCCGAACCCGTTGGCGGCACTCTAGCTCCGCCTCTGATTAGAACCGAGTTCCCACTTCACTTAAGTATTAGTACTATAATCTTTTTTCTGGTATTCTATTAGTGTCCAGTATCCTCTGTGTGGCTCAAATAATTCGAATTCGCACGAAATAGTAATTGATCACTAGTAATGTAGATTTGCGTCGAAATATCTCTCTTAATAATTAGTAATGGGTCAGAGGCGAAGCAATAGATGACCTTGAGGTATAACGACAGATCGAAAAGCTCGACTAAAAGGAATAGACGAATAAATATCAGTCCTACATAAGACCATATTTTGGAGGTTTGAATGCATTTATTATATTTAAATCGTAATTTAAAAAAAAAATGAAGACTTCTGGAATTTGTGGTCCTAAACAAGTCAAAAAGGGGTCCAGAGTATTTGTGTGGTTGTAAAAGCTTTTCATTAAGGGTAGTTTAAGCTAAATTGTTTTCATATTTAAAAAGGGGTCATTCTTTTTGGAACAAACCAAATAGTAAATAGGTTCACATAAACTGGAACGGAGAGAGTAATTATATAAATTGAAAATCCATAAAAATATGGACATCTACTTTAATTTAAACTAATTATTGCAAGGCCTACTAAATTAGTAGAAATGACACCAGATAAATTTTAATTTTTAATTTTTCGGACAAAAATATACTAAAATTAAGATTTATAGTTTAAAGTTTAGGGTAAAATAATTACATAATAATCTCTAAATAGTATGCAGCTATTATGCACTTGCCCCACTAGGGTAAACGCTTAATTCCTTTCGGGTCGCAATCCACATTAAAGAAATCCAACTGCCATTCCTACATGATTTTCTGTTTCTGATTAACCCTAACTGTAAATGCAAAAATAGAAAAAAGAAAAGAGAAATCTGCCAAGCTGTAGCTTGTGGACTGCCTCAATTATCTGATCATGGACGCCTCCTTTCTCCTTTGTCTTTGTTAAATTCTCCAATCTCCATTTTAATTCCTTTGCCCCATTTTGCTAGAATATTCCCTACTCTTGGAAATTACCAATCACAGAGTAGGGGGACAGAGAATTATACACTGACCCATAATTCCCCTATCAAAAATTCAAAATGGGTGCCTCTTCATCAGTTCCACAAAACTCAATTCATGAATTCACTGTCAAGGTGATCATTTTTACCACCTCCTTTTTATTTTTCTCAGGCGTAATCATTCTCGTATGTTGGATTTCCTTTTTGTTCTTTTTTTTAAAAAAAAAAAATGGGTGGGGTTGTTTCCAATATACAGGATTGCAAAGGAAAGGATGTGGACCTCAACATCTACAATGGAAAAGTGCTTCTTGTCGTCAATGTTGCTTCCAAATGGTCTCCACTTTTCCTTTTTCCCTTTTCTCTGTATACAAGTTTTAAACTTTGAGCTATATCTTATACTGTATAACTGTATTTGTTAGTTATTCAGCTCAAATTTCTTCTTTTTTCTTTTTCACGATATTTTTTTATTATTCTTGATGATATTAAGTCCTTGGACATATGGTGATGGTGTTCATGTTTATTGAAACAGTGGGTTCACAAACTCCAACTATACCCAATTAACTGAACTCTACAACAAATACAAGGATAAAGGTAACTTTCCTCAGATTGTTAAGATTAGTTGCTGCCTTATACATTATCACATGTTCATATTTATTAAATATAATACTCTTGACTCATTAATTTTGTCTGGAGTTTGTACTCTTTGAGGTATTTTGTGACTCTGTACATACTCCATCAGAAGGGAGCCTTAGAGCAATGGTCAAGTTATCTCCGTGTGACCTATAAGTCACGGGTTTGAGCTGTGGAATCAACCACTGATGCTTGCATCAGGGTAGGCTACCAACATCGCGCCCCTTGGGGTGCGGCGCCTTCCTCGGACCCTGGTGAACGCGGGATGCTTTGTGCACCGAACTGACGTACATCTCCATCATATATATTTTAATTGAATTTCAGGCTTTGAGGTATTGGCTTTTCCCTGCAACCAATTCCTGAAGCAAGAGCCTGGTACAAGTGAGGAAGCACAACAATTTGCTTGCACAAGGTTCAAGGCAGAATATCCCATTTTCCAAAAGGTAAGATGGCATAACTGACAAATTTTGATATTTGAGGCCTTTTCACCTAATGACATGGATTTAGTGACTACTATTACAATTAGACTGATGCTCTTAGTGGTCTCTTGGGTGAAAGAAGCAGCTCACGGTCTTGTCTATTGGATGCTGAAAAAGTATAAAGAGTACACAGTTCAATTTAAGCGTAGTACATTTAAAAAAACATAAAACCAGTAGCAGAATGGGGATAATAGGTTCTTTGCAAAGTTTAGCATTTAGCTCATCAGTGTTTTAACTTGCTGATTTTGAATCCAATCATTCCATTGCTATGATTGCATCATTGCCGGTTATTACCTTTTGTTAGCTCTCTTCTCTTTATCTTTGTTTAAGCCTTCCATAAGTAAACCTTATCTGCGTGCACCCAAGGTTAACATAGAGAAACAATAGGTTTCTATACATTAACCAATAGGTTTGTTGTCTACTCTTTATCTATGTCTAAACTTTTCCTAAGTAATCCTCATTTGTTTTTGTTGTCTACTTTATAGGTTTCTATACCATATGTCGTTGCTTCTCTTTGGATCCTTTCTTTTTGCCATATGGTCATCTTAGCATCCAGATATTAGGTACTTTGTAGTATACAACAACAACAACAACATTCCAGTATAATCCTACAAGTGGGGTCTGGGGAGGGTAATATGTACGCGGACGTTACCCCTAACCCGAGGGGCAGAGAGGCTGTTTCTAAGAGACCCTCGGCTCAAGAGAGCAACAAGAGACGATATATTAGTACTATCAATAGACTCATAATAAAATAACATAAAATACATAACATAAAATAACAAAATAACAGCAATATAAGAAATACGAAAAGGATGAAAAGTATACTAATATCCAACAGATAAAGCCCAACATCAGTAGCTGATCAGTAGCATCCTAAGACTAACTCCTAACTGGCTAGTCTCACTCTAGTGCGTTGTAGAAATATTCACAACTTCCTCCTAACCTACAACCTTAATGCTCGACCTCCACAATTCCCTGTCAAGGGCCATGTCCTCAGTAATCCTA